TTGCCTTGTAGTTTTATTTATTCATTTTAAAACTCATGACTGCATTTAAACATTGATGGGTCTGTATTGCTGAATCTGTTACTGGAAATGAATATGCAGAATGAAGGGTAGCTCTTCCTGTGGTAACATCCATTGTTGAACATCTCCTGCACAGCAGTTTGGAAACTCTTCACAGTTATGTGAGGCATTTCTGTTGGCAGGTTGTAGGAGGTGAATGGAAAGTGCAATTGAACTTGGTGTTCAAGTGCCTTTCCTGACAATGTTTAAATGCAAGCGGGTCACAGGCTTTGTGTCTGCAGCTTTGACGAACGTCTGTTATTATGAACTATATGACCTGATAAAGGCATTGCTGCGCATCCGCTCATAAGCAAAGGATATCCAGTAAGAGACAACTGTTCATATTTCCATTGCAAATGTCGGAATATTTCCATTGCAAATATTATGTGACAGAATAAACAAAAACATTCTTAACTCTTTAGCCATTTCCAGTGAACCATGTCTGCCAGAATCAACACTGAAATAAGAGACACAGGTTGTGGTTAATGGATTGCTAAACAGGTGCCACATTCTGCATTTCTAGACACCCTTGCTTGGAAGTAAGTCCCATTGAACTCAATCAGATTGACTTCTGAGTAAACAGTTGGTGGATCAGAGTATTTAAAGTAAGATGAACAAAAGGAAGAACATTGTGGTTCATACCCTGACCTATGAAGGCTATTTCCTGTAAACTTTAATGAAACTTAAATTCTCCCTTTACATCTATTCCATACAGCCTGAGCAAATGGTAGACTGATAAAATTGATGCTATAGGGTTCTTAGTGACATTTGAGTGTAGAATACCAATGTCCTTGTTTGTATTTCAAAGCAATTCATTTACATTGGGCCATACCCTTTGTAACACTATGAAACTAGACTATTGCTGCATTTTTGAGACTATTGCTGCATTTTTTGGGCATCAAAATATTGTACAGCATATTTGATGAGTGACAGCTGGGTCCTGGGTCCATACATGACCTCTTTTCTATCATCTGTAATATGTAAGATCACTCTTGTATAATTCATACCTTCTCCTGGAGGAATGGATGTGTCATGCATCTGGGGTGTTTGCACATACTATTTGTATTTGTTCTGCATGATGCAGAGGCATGTGTGAAGTGGTATATGCAAGCCCTTAACTTGTTCTTTCAAATCCCATAATTAGGTTCGTGACTTATGTGAACTGCTCTGTGGTGCTGGATTCATTCCTAGGATTTAGACTTCAGGGTTTGTTTGTTTTTATGTATATATAGTTAATATGCAGTATATTTTGAAAGACAGGCTGCAATGTTCTTTATATTTCCCAAGCAAGCAGTATTTAAACACGGTATTTTATACTGGACACCTATAATGAAAAAAATACCAACTGATGCATGCTAACAAATCTGGAACACCTCAAATGTTGAATGCTGAGGTAAGAGAAATCACATTCAAAATATTATTTCAAAATTTTAAACGTTCCCAAATTCTATATTTTGCCAAGGTTGGTTTCAGTGCTGCCACCTCCTTCAATGGGCAAGAAATCATCAAAATGATTGCAGGATTTATTCTATTTGATATCAAAGAGCCTAAGAATTTAACCAGGGAGAGGAAGTTGGCCTGTGCCACAAAACAACAGTCCATCTTCCTTTTCTTTCATCAGACCAAAAGAGACAGATAGTCATGAAATTTGTATATACTAATTTGTGTCCTTAGGTACATTTTGAACCAAGCAGCTGCAAATGAAATTAAGGCACTATACATTATGCCACAGGAAGGAAGATAGTGACTAGATAACCTCTGTGTATGCTCAGTTTCCTCTACAGGTGCTTTCCATTAATGGGGTGACTTCAAGAAATCCTTCTCTAATTTCTTATGGTTCTTAATCTTGAAACCAGACTTAGCCAGGACAGTCTTTCTACATCCAAGTCCTAGTTGGCTATCCCAGCTGACATAAACCTTTTTAGAGACTTGGTCTCTTTCCTAGGTTAAAGTTGTTATATGTGGTCTAAAAGTTACAGTCAGTGAGTATAATTTCAGGAACTGTTTTGTTTACTCTGACTAGTAGTGAATTCCAACTCTGACATCAGCAAGTTCATTTTGATTCTTCCATGTTTTCTCACTTCGTAAATGGAGAGTGTATTACATAATTTAATTGTGGCTAGAAATAGTGATAATCACCACCAAAGAAAAACATCACACAGTTTCATAAAGATCAGACATATGCTTCATAGACAGGAGGCAAATCCAAGAAAAGATTTAATTGGGAAGAAAAGGGTCCTTTCCCTAGCACTGTAAATTTGTCTGCAGATAACCCGGAATGACAGCAACAGAATGTCAGGATTTCCACCATAATAGTCAGCATCTGCCTGAGTGCAAACAGACCTTTCATAAAATTAATTTAGATACATGTCCTTCTTTGTGATGCCTGGTTAATCACATATGTGAAATTGCTGGCATTGTGACTCATGAAACAACCTCACTTTGCTCTGGCTGAGGTTAATGAACTGCTTTTACTGCCTTATTAACTCAAAAGTCAGAGGGAATACAAATAGCACAGTTTACTAACATCAAGAAAGGCACAACTAGCCTTTGAGGGCAATTAAAACTCCTAGGTAATGACCACATACCTTAGATCTGTCATGGTTTCCATTTCCATTATTTCACTGATCAAGAGCAGTCATTTGAATCATTGCGGGTCCATGAACTAATCTTATTTTTTCCCCTATTTTGTCGTTCTGCCAACTCCTGCGACATTGTTGGAACCAGTTGTATTGGCTCTTGCCTTTCCATTGGATCATTTCAGCAATGTGGAGAGGGGGGATCTGCTGCTTGGGTAACAGCCTATCCTCCATATTACCTTACCTGGGCTTCATGCTCTGGAGAGGACACTCCTTGATTCAGAGCATGTTACCATAGTCTCTTGAGACTGAAGGATGCCTTTGGGTTTTTTAAATGTTTCTTGGTTCTTTTTAATGTATGTCTTGGGTGACATTGGGTCGTGGTATTTTAATTGTTCTGAGCCACTCAGAGTACTGCTCTGATACTAGATGGGTGGGATATGAATGGATGGATGGATGGATGGATGGATGGATGGATGGATGGATGGATGGATGGATGGATGGATGGATGGATGGATGGATATTTGTCTTAAGGTGAAGACCAATCCAAGGTTCTAGGAGTAGTATAGCTGGTATGGGAGCTCTCGCACCACATTTAATTCAAATGTCTTGTCCTCCTTTTTTGGACTGAAATCTGAGAAACTGTTTCTGCTCCTTTGTGTCATGTTGTTGTTCAAAATGAGAAATGGAATAGGCAGAGCTAATTGGTGGGCTATATTAAATCAACCAACCAATCAATCAGTTACTGTCTTCATGCACCTATTACTTTGGCATCTTTTCCAAGTTGGCAGTTTATTCATTTTCTAACCATTTTATTATTTTAATGCAAAGAAAGGGTGAAACTTGACTTTTTTCAAGCTTCTGGCACAAACTGTAGTAGTCTTGGGAAATGACGTAAGAAAGTCTTGTTTTGTTATTTCTGGCAAAATCCAAAGAAAACAAAACAAAACAAGACAAAAACATGTGGCACCTTAAATACTAACTATTATATTTTAAAGTAAGCTGTCACAGAGTTTGTCAGACATATGGAAACAGAATATGTTATTTCTGTTATCTGTCAATTGACTGATAGTTTGCTAAAGACTTTTCCCCCAGTTCTAACAGTATAGCTTTCTGCCTGAGCATGCAGGACTCTAGGATCTTCACAGCTGTGCTCCTGCTGGTAGAGCATTCACCACTATTTTTGCTGTTCAAAAAGCAAGCATTAAATCTGCTGGATAGCTTAGTGGTTTAGACGTCTGTCTGTGAAATCAGAGGTTGGGAGTTTGATTCCCCACTGTGTCTCCTTGATAGGGGCTGGACTTGATGATCCATAGGGTCTCTTCCAGCTCTGCAGTTCTAAGACAATGATGCTCCCAAGATGACTTTGGATATGGGCTGGATAGAATAACTATAGTACAGAATCCTACTCAGAGATTGCTTATCAATAGCTCCTCAAACTGGGAGGAGGCAACAAGTGAGGTACCACAAGACTCAGTCCTGGGCCCAGTTCTGTTTAACATTTTTATTAATGACTTGCATGAGGGAGTATAGGGAATACTTATCAAATCTGTGGATGACCCAAAATAACTAACACATTGGAAGACAGAAACAAGATTCAAAGAGATCCTGATAGGCTCAAGCACTGGGCTGAATGAAATTTAATAGGGACATGTTCTACACTTGGGGGGGGGAAAACCAAACACCAAACCAAACCAAAGATGGGGGAATACATGGCTCAGTAATACTATGAGTGAGAAGGATCTTGGAACTATTGTAGACCACAAGCTGAATGTGAACTAACAGTGTAATATGGCTACCAAAAAACAAAAACAAAACAAAACAAAACAAAAGGGCAAATGCTATTTTAGGACAGAAATATAGTCTCCAAATCCCATGAAGTACTAGTTGCCCTCTATTCAGCACTGGCTAGGCCTCATCTAGAGTACTGTGCCCATCTCTGGACACTGTACTTCAAGAAGGATGCCAACAAACTAAAAAGTTCAGAGGAAGCCAACAAGGATGACAGTGAACTGGAAACCAAGCCTTATGAGGAAAGACAGAAAGAACTGGTCATGTTTTTAGCCTTGAGAAAAGAAAACTGAGTGGAGATCTAATAGCACTTTTCAAATACTTGAGGGATAGGCATACAGAGAAGCGGCAAGATCTGTTTTTCATCACTCCAGAGTGCAAGACAGGTAATAATGGGCTCAAGGAGGTCAAGAAGTCAGATTTCAGCTGGCTATCAGGAGAAACGTCCTAACTGTTAGAGCAGTACAACAATAGAACCAATTACCTCAGGAGGTGGTGAGAGCTCCAACACTGAAGGCATTCAAGAGAAAATAGAACAACTATTTGTCAGATCTGCTTTGATTTGGATTCCTGTAGTGAGCAGGGGGTTGGGCTCAATGGCCTTATAAGCTTCTTCCAATTCAATTATTCTATGATTCTATGATATTATGCAATCAGAGCCACACCCCTGATCCATCACTGTTTTCCTTTCCTATTCCCAACTTTAGCAAGGCAAGAGTTGTGGCTCTTGATGCTGATATAGGGAGAGGAGATTCAAGCTCATCTCCCCTTATTCACCGTTGGAAGTGTCTGTCTCTGGTCTGAGAGGACATTTGATCTGCCCTGAAGCCCCTAGGACATGATTTCAGAGATGTTGTAAATGCACTATAGAGCCGTGACCCTACATATGCTTAAGTGGAAGTAAGCTCAGTTGAACCCAGTGTAATTTTGGAGTAGGTGGGCATGGGACTGTATTCTTTATTGTTTTTGTTATTCTTTTTTTTTTTAAAGCTATTTTTTCTAGATTCAAGGTTTCTCCACTCTTGCATAGCTAAATCATTCCCCCATCATACAACTTGCAGTCAGGTGGCAAGCCACTACAAAAAGGGCAAATGGATTGGACCCTTTCTGCCCCTCCCATTCTCTATAATGTGAATATTGGAGGGACAGCTACTCCAGAATCCAGTATAAACTCAAAAATAGAGATCTTGTTAATTTATTCTGTACAAGATCAGACTCTAGACCAGAGCAAAGAAGGTGCAAGGCTGCAGAGTTTATAAAAGTTGTCGTTGTTCTTGTTACTACTGCTGCTACTGCTGCCGCCGCCACCACCACCATCACTATTTACAATATTCCTTAGTCAGCATGGCTACTAAGCATGATGAATGGAGGATTCTTTGCAGTCTGAAAAATAAAGTTTCCAAGTTCTAGTGCTTTGACTCAGCTGGATGAACCACTGGACCTATAGTGATTTAAAAGTTCAAAAATAAAATACAAACTGATTGTTAAAAAAAAAAACCAGTTAAAGCTCGTGTTAATGTTTCTTTTTGCATTTGATTTTTATGCTTCACTTTAACCTTCATGTTCCCACCCTAAGTGGCAAGAATTGTGAAGCCAAGATACAGTGATCTGTTTTGTATGCATAATCCTCATGCCTTCATGTCTTGATTTGTTTGCTCAGCTTCAAAATTAGGTGGTAACACTTCCACATTCTCATTGCCTCTCTCTTAAGGATTCCAAAGGTTCTTTTCTACTTGAAAGACTAAGGACCAGGTTTTTATAGATTTCTGATCCAAGAAACCTGGGGTATGAATCCCGTTCCATATGCATGTAAACAATCTTCTGGGCTTCATCAAAACAGGATTGAGTTGGGTCTTGGAGGTTTGTGATAATACGTTGTCTTGCAGGACTGTCAATGTTAATCTAGAAAAAAATAGTTTTCAATAAGGTGTGTTAACATTTTTTCCATTAAAATTGTAAGAAGGAAGAGAGTAGAACAAGGTCATATGCTTTAGTGAGAAACATAGAAATTAAGTTAAGGTGGAAATCACATTGTTGCAGCATTTTAATCTCCATTTTGTAGGTTATGAGCTGACACAGACATAGAGTGAAAGTACTTATCTCTAAAGCACAGTAATGGATGCACTAGACATTGGGTGTGATCAGAGGGGGATTTTTCCACTGTTTGATGTGCTGTGAGGACAGGCTGGTTTGCTCCTTCTTCCAGCGATCAGATGACATAATTGCTGGAGACAACCAGTCCATCCTCAAAGCATTCCTACCTGTACCTTTCTGGGTCTCTGTCAGGGGCTACTACTTTTGAATGTGGGTAGGGCCACTCCATTTTGGTTCATTTCCAGCACATGCAGTTGAGGGAAACAAACCCAAGCAGAGCCTGCAGCTTTACATTTGCCTTCCCCTCTCCATTTCCCATATTGTTGAGTGACCTAAGAAGACAGCTTTGCCACTTCATGGTATTGCTCAATGAAGAGGCAGAGAAAGCTTTTTTTTTTAAACTGTATTAGGATAGCTCTGATATGCCAGATCACTTAGATTTTTTTTACTGTAAATTGAAAACTTTCTGACACAGGAGGAAACAGGAGGGGGTAAGGACAGAGATTTTTTTCCCTTTCATTTGACTTTTCTTAGAGACTGGGTAGAGAAGAGAAAGGAAAGATTTTTTTTAAAAAAAAAACTAATTGGGGCAGTGCTGACATCTATATCACTTTAAAAATACTGAAATCTTCCTTCCAGAAGTGGGAGCAGACAGGAGTGGGTATAGAGATTTTTTTGTCCTTTTGTTTTGCTTTCTTAATGAAACCAGATAGGGTCATTTGAGATATGTATACCATTCAGATGCAAGCATCACACCAAATGGCAAACCACATCTCTACCTGTCTTTAAGGAACCCTATTTAATGTATTCTCAAACCCTATTTAATTTGCACTAGCCTGCTCCAATGCGTCTCTGTAGACAAGTCCTTATTCTTAAGTAGAAATGTATGAGCTGTGTTTGACATGCTTGGTGGGCAGATGCCCACATTGGCAATGACTGCATCTGGCACTGGCCACTTTTGGTTTGGTCCACCCTTCAGCCCCTAGGGCTCTTTCTAAACTGAAATTTGGCCAATATGTTTCCCTGCCCTTTTTCTTTATGTACATGCACTAATGTATACACAGAATAGCCTATTCTTCATCATTCAAATAGATTCCTCAAATTCCTCAAGAAAAGTTATGATGGATACAACTTGTCCTTTTCTCCTCTCTGCCTCCATCTCTCTCATTTTTCATAAAGTAGTTGTTTCATTGTACAAAACAAAATTCCAACAACATGGGATTTTCTACGAGGGCTTGTCTTCTGTTCTTACTAGTTCAAATTATTTCAGCAGTTGGGTGGTTGGCTGCAAAATCAGTGAATAGGTAGGTGGTGTAGGTAGGGCTACACGAAACTTTAATGATTTAAAATGAAATGATACTTGAGTTTTATTAAAACTATGAACTTGAACGTAACCGTGTAATACATTACAAGGATTTTCATAATTGATCATACTGATAATTGGGATTCTGTTGCTTCATGTTTCCTTATGAAGCCCCTTTAGGAACTTTAGCCCCATTCCTTAGCTATACTTATAGATATATTTGGAAGTGATGACATGTCAAAGATTATGCAGAAGGGAAATCCTATTTATCTATTGATGGTGTGAAAAATTGCAATATAAGCATTGTAGGAGGGAAAACCTCTCATTTGTCATGCTTAACACAGCTGGCAGTAGTTGAAATTTACCAGTCTCACCGAGTGGTGACTGTTATGTAAGTCTCTACACCAGCTGTCATCCCACCGCTGAACTATAAACAATCCCAGAGTTTCCTTATGAAGAGAATGAGAGTTTTATTGAGCCCTTGTCAACTAGAATGAATGGGAGGGTTCAATGACTTCTAATTATTGTAGATTAAAGGTTCATTTCAAAGTTAATTTCCTTTGAGATATTGACAAGATGAAAGTAACATATCATGTGGTAAAAGCTTTCAGAACTTTCTGCACCCATTGTTCTGGGACAGCACTCTCAGCTTTTATAGAAGTTGCCAATATTGCATCTCTTGCGGTAGAAGCAGAGCTGGCACAAAAGATGTTGGTCTTTGAAGCATGGGCAGAAATTGCACCCTTCCTCAGTTGGGTTGCAGAAGCCAGTCGGAATGACAGTGGAATCAGATGACACATTGCATGGCACATGTCTCAGTACATGACCATCATTCCTTGTCCCTCCCCGCCCCCACTGTGCCTGCTGTGTGAATTTGCTGCTTGACTCTACCTAATGGCAGAGTTGACCTCAAGAGAAATGATTTACATGTTTTTGGTTGGCCTAGTTCCATATAAAATCACTTCAGCTAGTTATGGAACCCAGATGCTGGGAAGCAAAAGGCAGCAATGACTCCCTTTTGAGAAAAATGACCTTGCATGATCCAGCAGAACAAGACTGTCACATTTCCAAAGTTGTGCAGCTTTTGGATATGTTTCTCCTCATTCCAGAATGATCTGCCTTTTCTCTTCCAAGTGGTGAGTTCACTTTCTCAAAGAGCAGTGGCATAATCACGAATAAAGATCTCAGTGAGGCATGCTAATCCATGAGTAGATCTGATTTGGAAACACATCAGCTTCCTCCCACTCAACACACAGTATTCTTCAGCAGGCATGTATGTTAAAAATCTACCAACTAGGGAGAGCTTATTTCAAAGGCCTCTATAATATTAGGCAATCAACTCAGACAACAGATTCAGAGTCATATGAAAAGTCAGCAAATTATTAGTGCTGTACTTTTCAATTGTATTTTACTGCCAAGGATAAGGATTATGGGATTATTGCCTTGGGTGGCAAAATAACTTGGCTGGCTTTGAAACAATGCACTTTGATTTGAGCAGATGAGCAGGTGAGGGACATCTTTTCCTGCACTGCCTCAGGCAGCAAAGTGTCTTGGTCTAAGTCTGATGGGGTTCTTATGATTTCTGCTCAGATAAAATGGAGGAAATGAATTCTTTTTTGGAAGAGAAATCCACTTTGCCTGCACAGATTAGAAAATGGAGTGATTCTACCTGGGCTTTCTCTCAGTGAATTAGGTATCTGTCTGCAGAGCCAGATGTTGGGAGTTCAATTCCCCACTATGCCTCCAGGGACAAAAGCCAGCCTGTGTGGCTTTTGGCAAGCTGCACAGTCACAGGGTGCCCCCAGAAAAGGTAAAGATAAAGGTTCCCCTTGACATTTAGTCCAGTCATGTCCGACTTTAAGGTGCGGTGATCATCCCCATTTCCAAGCCGTAGAGCCAGGAGGGGACTGTGACAAAATCTCTCTTCACCCATCATGCCAATAGCACCGCCCAACGTCCACAATCTGAGGCAGCCACCTCATTCTGCCTAATGGGTGGGCCAACTCTATCAGAAGAACAGGACAGGAAATACAACCTCTGAGAGACTATGACTTCTCTGTAATGACAGAAATGGATGTTACAGGAGAAGCCTAAGCTTTGGCCTGTGCTTTGATGACAATGAGATTTGCATCTTTTCATTCTGAAGTGGCTGCAGAGATGTGTTGGGATTGTTATGGAACAACTGCACAGCTTCATCTTTTTATATTACTGTAAATACAACATAAAGACATTCATCTCAAACAAACACACACATACACACAAACAAAACAAAACACACAACCCAGACCTTCTGTGTTCCTCTCCAGCACATTAAATGTACCTGTCTTGGAGCCTGCGGCTTGATATACTCTTTGAAAAGTTTCTGTGCCACCAAAATTCTTTTCCTCTGTGAGGCAATTTTCTTATACTTTTCACAAGCAAACCAGAAGTCAATGTTCTCATCACTGTATTCAGTCTTCAGGTAGGACTGGTAGATGACTGGTCCATCTGAAAATCAGGCAGGTAAGTCAGATGCAGAGTTTTGAAATAACTAGCTACAAAGTTTAAGCTTCTTATGTGTTATTTGCAATTAAGTCCCTTTTTTGGTAATGCAAGTATAACTAGATTCCTTTGCAATTGTAAATTAACAAGGGACACAGTCACTGCCTTTCACAGCCTAACTCTTAAGTTTTAATTTTAATTATGTTAAGTGTGGGCATTCTAAATAGTAGAATCATCACAAGGGTCAAATGCTAGCTCATGCTGTGGTTTGTGTTGCAGAAAGAAAAACACTCAGATTTTTTTTAAAAAATTGTTAATACAGCAATGTTAGTTACTTTTGAGAATCAGGAAAGTAACAGAATACCTTTCAAATGTACCTATATGAATAACTAACTTCTTTGGAAGTTTCGAATGATAACCATAACATTTTTTTTCATTACTTTCCAAGCTCTGTTCAAGTATTGCTGTGCCTACAACATTCAAAATAGGTTTTAGAAAAATTGTGCTTCACTCTCAGTGATAAAATCCCATGATCCTGCAGTTGCAAGGAGATAGAATTGTTAATTGGTTGGCAAATGTGCTTTGCATTCCTCATTTCTGTGTAATGTACAATTACATTTTACATTTCTCTGCCTGAAGGAGAAATAGCAAATAATGACATGAATGAATGAATGAGAGATATTCTTGGTTGTTGTGGGTTTTTCAGGCTCTTTGGCCGTGTTCTGAAGGTTGTTCTTCCTGACGTTTCGCCAGTCTCTGTGGCCGGCATCTTCAGAGGACAGCACTCTGTGCTCTGGTGTAGTAGGCTTTGGGAGTGCAGTATTTATGGCTATGAGATAGGCTTTCGTCTTTTTCTGTAGATGGGTGATTAGTGTGCATTGTTGTGGGTGTATTGTTGTGCTAAGGAGAAGAGATTATCTGTTCCTGTGGTTGATGGGTGTCATTAGCTGGTCTTTTGTGTGTAGTGATCCCCTGTCCTTGTGGCTGGGTAGAGTTTGTTGACCTTTTGCACACTGTATTTTTGAGAGCTGGGAGCCAAGTTTTGTTGAGCTTCACACTTTTCTCTTTTTTTGTTGAAGTTCTGCTGGTGCTTGTGGATTTCAATGGCTTCCCTGTGCAGTCTGACATAATGATTGCTGGTGTTGTCCAGTATTTCAGTATTTTGGAATAGAATTTCATGTCCAGTTTGTTTTAGGGCATGTTCAGCTAGTGCAGATTTTTCCGGTTGTTTTAGTCTACAGTGTCTCTCATGTTCTTTGATTCTGGTGTTGATGCTTCATTTTGTGGTTCCAATATATACCTGGCCACAACTGCAAGGTATCCGGTATACTCCTGCAGTGGTGAGAGGGCCCCTTCTGTCCTTTGCTGACCGTAACATTTGTTGTATTTTTGTGGTGGGCTTGAATACTGTTTGTAGGTTGTGTTTTTTCAAAAGTTTCCCCATGCGGTCCGTGACCCCTTTGATGTATGGCAGAAATACTTTATTTGTGGGTGGCTGGTTTTCTTCTTCATTTTGGTGTTGTTTAGTTGGTTTGATAGCTCTTGTGATTTCAGTTTTGGAGTAGCCATTTGCCTGTAGGGCCCAATTCAGATGGTTGAGTTCAGTGCTGAGAAACAGAGCTTCGCAGTTCCGATTTGCATGGGTCTACTAGTGTTTAGAGGGGACGTGGTGGCGCTGTGGGCTAAACCGCAGAAGCCTGTGCTGCAGGGTCAGAAGACCAAGCAGTCGTAAGATCGAATCCACGCAACGGAGTGAGCGCCCATTCCTTGTCCCAGCTCCCGCCAACCTAGCGGTTCGAAAGCATGCAAATGCGAGTAGATAAATAGGTACCATCTCGGGGGGAAGGTAAACAGTGTTCCGTGTCTAAATCACACTGGCCATGTGACCACGGAAAGATTGTCTTTGGACAAATGCTGGCTCTATGGTTTGAAGAGCGGGATGAGCGCCGCCCCCTAAAGTCGGACACGACTGGACGAAAATTGTTAATGGGAACCTTTACCTTTACCTTTTACCAGTGTTTTGATTATGCCTCTTTTTTTGCTGTGGGTGGTGGCTGGAGTTTTTGTGTAGGTATCGGTCTGTGTGGGTGGGTTTTCTGTAGACCTTGTGTCCCAGTCGGAGGTCAGTTTTGCGTAGGACCATGACATCTAAGAACGGGAGTTGGCCCTCTGTTTCTTTTTCCATGGTGAATTGTATATTTGGGTGGATGCTGTTGAGATGGTTGAGAAATTCTTCCAATTTTTCTTCACCGTGACTCCAAATTGCAAAGGTGTCATCCACATATCGGAACCAGACTGTGGGTGCTTGGTTTGATGGCTCTTGAAACACTGTGGTTCCTTAACACTCAGTATCTACTGCCGAAGGTAGCTTTCTCACTTGTCTAATGGTAGGGCCAATACTATTAATCGAGTATGAGTAGCGGCTTCATGTCATGCCTGGATGGCATTTAATAAGGTGAAATAGGTCCACACATTTCTTTAAACTAAAACTTGGGGACTTTCATGATCTTTGACCATAGGCCATGCTGGTTGGGGCTGATGTAAGTTGGAGTGGCATGAAAGGAATATTCCTTTCTGTAAGCAATAAGATACGGGAAGACAAAGGGAAAATCAACACAATATCTCCATAGAGACAAGCTCTTGATACTTCTACAGCCCATTTCACCAGACAGCAGAGGTTGGTGGCACTATCAGTGAGGAAGTGATTCAGCTCAGGATTTTAGCCTGAACTTTAGCTTTCAAATCATATTCCCCTGAAAAGATTCAACATGCATAGCAAAGTTAGAACTAAAATCCAGAGTGGACTCGCCACCTTAGTAACATCAGAATCACCAGCCTCGAGTGTCTCCAGTATTAACATACATCATCTTCAGTCATTTAGTGCTGGAAATCCAGATGACATTCATCCAAATCATTATATTCACCTATGTTTGCCTATTGTCATCCTGATACTGATTGCGGAAGTCCTATGAATTCTTCCACCTCAAAAAGAGGAGTGGAGATTGAGTATATTGTACATATTAATGGGCTTCTTTAGACAGTTCTTGTTTTGCTGTTATATATGATAATCTGCATGCATGTAGGTTATTTCATCTCACAGAACAGAATATTTCATTGTCAAACATATCCTTCTGTCCTTTCGCCATATATCCAGTTAACAACATATCAAATCTTGCACTGCTTTAGTGCTGTGATAGGTAAATATATAACTACTCACATTTGGTAGCCATTAGCTTTTCAAAGGACTGAGACCACTGTAGCGCTTCCTTTAAGCTTACTCTGTGAGAAATAAAAGCACCTGAGTTTAGAATGACTAGTAACTTCACAACCAAAATCACAAAGTCTGGGGCAAGGGATGTCCTATGTTGCAGTGTCCTGTACATCACAAGGACCATTGGGGCATAATTATGAATTGCCTAGGTAGGAGGCCACCTATGAACTATGTACAAGCAACGGTGGCCTTTCTGGAAAAAAGGGGGGGTATAAAAAGAAATGAAGTTCAACTATGCTTAAAAGGACCCCCTTTGGATGGATAGCTCAGTGAGTTGGGCTACCTGGCTGTGGAGCTAGAGGTTGGGAGTCTGATTCCCCATTGCTTCTCCTGAGAGAAGAGTTGGCCAGTATAGCAAACTGCATAGTCCTAGGGTGCTACAAGGGAAGGAACTGGTAAACCATGTCTGCATGTGGTATACCTAGAAAATCCTGGTAGGGGTCACCATAAGTCAGAAGTGGCTTTATGGTACATAATTGCACATAGCTGGATACTCAATGAGTGTCTGGTGGCAGAGTCAGGAGCTGGGAATTCAGTTGCCCACTGCATTTTGTAGGTGCTCTTGGGCAAAGTATGCTGTCCCAGAAGAAGGAATGGTAAACTACTTCTACATACACCTAGAAAGCCCTGTAAAGGGTCATCATAAGTTGGATCTGACCTGACTTATATTGAAAAGAATACATCAGATAATTAGAGCCTAACCAAGGCATTTAACTGAATGAGATAAAGTATGAGATGGTGTACCCTTCGATTCCATGAATAAAACTCAAATATACCAATCAGTTGAGTCTTCCTTCAATACAGGCAGTGGGACAGGATCCTCAACCCTACCTGAAGTCAGCAGTCAGTTCAAATGAGGCAGGGCAACGGCTATTACATATAGGTCTCTTCTCCCATACCTTCCTGCCATTTGAGGTGGCTGTTTTATGCATTGATAGGTCCAGCCCTGCAGATCTCCATATAAACCACCCTAGTTTGACTTGCCTAAAGAGTCAGGTCTTGAGTTGGCTCTTAAAAACACCCAGCGAGGGAGCCAGACATGTTTCTGGGGGGAGATTGTTCCAGAGGCAAGGGGCCACTGCTGAGAAGGCCCACTTTCTTGTTCTTTCTCTTCGGGCCTCCCTCAGCATTAGGCCCCTCAGCCGCCCATCTTTACTAAAGTGAGTGATTCATGTAGATCTAGGTGGGAGGAGGTGTTCCGCCAGATATTGAGGCCGTAAACCATTTAGGGCTTTATAAGTAATCGTTAACACTTCGAAATCAGTGCAGAAATGAATGGGCAGCCAATACAGGGCAGCCAGAGTAGGGGAGATATGTTGATGTTTTCTCACCCCAGTAAAAAGTCTGGCCACCGCATTCTGCACCATTTGAAGCTTCTACATCAATCTCAAAGGTAGCCCCATGTAGAGTGCATTACAGTAGTCTAATCTCAAGATTACAAGCGCATGGACCAGAGTGGTGAGGGCCCCCACATAAAGATAGGAATGAGCTGCACAATCTGCTGAAGATGGAAATAGGCGTTACGAACCCCTGATACTACCTGAGTCTCTATGGTAAGCACTGGGTCAAGATGGGCCCCCAGACTGCAAACCAAATTCTTTGTGATGAGAGTCACCCCTTAAAGGAGAGGGAGTTCCCCAAACCACTGACATTGGGGCCACCCACCCTCAGGACCTCCATCTTGTCCGGGTTCAGCCTCAGACAATTTACCTGCATCCATTTCAATACAGCCTCCAGGCAGTGCTGAAGGGACGAAACAGCACCCACTGTTGTTGAAGAAAAGGAGATGTAGAGCTGGGTATCATCAGCATACTGATGACATGAAGCCCCACACCCCCTGATGACCTGACCCAGTGGCCTTATGTAGATATTAAACATCATTGGGGAGATAATTAAGCCCCATGGAACCCCACAATTAAGATTTCACAGAGCCAATACACAACTGTAAGTGGCAGATTGTCACTGATTGAAAACTACATTTTTTAAAAAATTCTGACTGCACATAGCTTGCATGCAATTAGATGAAGTCACAAGGATCCCAAAGTTTTTTTAAAAAAAGTTTTAAAAAAAGAATTTTTAATCAATGCCAGTATGCTGCTGACAATGATATCATTCTTGTTGCATTGCTGGAACCTGACAAACATGAATCTGACCATTGCTTTACAAAACAACCACTGACTTACATGTATTATTATTTACTAGTTATGTTTACTGACGCAATGAAGAGAGGAGTGAAACAACTGTATGTTTTATATTAAGGAAATGGAAGGGATTAGCTATCATGGGTTGCCCAAACTTGGCCTCAGAACTCAGAAGTGGTTTTCCGTGTCTTCACTCTTGGCCTTACAGCAGTTCCCAAATGCACACTAAAGCCATTTAATCATTATAACATTAAATTATAATCCAGTCTTGATTAAAAGCAAAATTAGCTTTGAGATGCAGAGCTCCAATAAAAGATTGCCTCCAATATAAACCTGCCTCTAGTACAACAGCTGTGTGCAGGGATTTATAGCCTTGTTAAATTATAATAATCTCTGATATTTGCCTTGGATAATTTTTAGTTTATTCTAGTGAAGTCCCTGAGCCTAAGGTGATTGTTGTAGTGATTGTTAGCAAGCAAATGCTCACTTTCTGTACAAGATACATACCAGGTTACAGTGTATTTGTGTTTGAATTCCTCCATGTTTTTTCCATGGGGCTTTTGTATCTCTGGAATGCAAGCAAAGCTCCACATGAGGGGACTCCACTCCATTCTTTGTTTGGTATCGGCCTCTCTGTGAGGTGCGCAGCTCCTGATGCAGGGCTATTTTACTCGCCCGGCCAGAAGAGAGGAGACATCGCGAGGCTAGCAAACTAGGGTGAGACCAGAAGCCTTAAGAAGGCTTCCCAGCCCACCGCCGTCCTCTTCGCTGCTTTGGATTTGTAGGGACGGTTGGCAGTGCTGTGAGGACCAGGCAGTTTCGGTTTTGACCACATGGTTGCACAAAGAGGAGTGACGGAGAGCGGCGGCTGGGCATCGGATCAGCCCCAGTGGGGTTTGGCTTTCTTTCTTTGACAAGGGGAGAGAGCCTTCGCAGGCTTCTCTCTAGAGTTTTATATATAAAAAATTCTAGAGAGAAGCCTGCAAAGGCTCCCTCCCCTTGCCAAAGAAAGAAAGCCAAATAAATAAATAAAGTTTCATCAATAAAGGGGGATGGGGGGATGGTCCATAACTATTTCCAATTACTCCCTCTCAAAATCCTCCCCCAAAAGAACAACAGGTATCCCATTTCAATAACAGGCTGGAGCTCCACTCTGGAAGCCCAGCTCCGTTCCTTGTCACTATTATTATATTCCTCCAGGGTTTTAGTGGAACTTCCTTTTGGAGGGACAAAGTCAGGTTAGGTTCAGATTTTCAAGTACAAAAACAGATGCTGCAGGATCACTGGGTTATGGTACCTTTTTCAGAGGGCACTGGTGTGCCAGTACATGCTAGGAATTACCAGGGATCTCACTTTCTTGGAACTGTTTCCAATTGTAAGGGCCTTGTGGTTATGGGGTGAGCAGTGGGCCAACTCAGTGGTCACTTTCTGGTGCAACAACCAGGTGGTGGTCCACATAGTTAATTCACTGACATCTAGGTGAGGGAGGATAATGAAGCTGGTTAGGGCTATGGTGCTGCATTGTTTACAGTTAAATATAGTTTTTTCAGGCCCTTCATGTTCTGGGTATTGACAATGCCATAGCTGATGCCCTGTCCCGTCAACAGATGGACCGGTTCAGGGTGTTGGCACCAGGGTCACAGGGTCAACCGGACATGCTGCTGATTGAGGTATGGAATCTTGGTGGGCTGAGGCACATAGAGCAATGAGTCTAGTGGTAGCTCTTAGCATGAAGCATAGTTATGCAGCAGCTTGTACCAAGTTCTTCTCTTTTTGAGAGAAAAAGGGACTTTGGGAGGATTGACTGCCAATGGATGACCATATGATACAATTTGCGGTTCACTTGCACCACAAAGGGTTAGCACCTCAGTCAATCCAGGGGCGTATGTCTGCTCTGGCATTTTATGCTAAAGTTCAGGGGTGCAGAGGCTACTCTGGATTTTCACATAAAGAAATTGATAAGAGGGTTGGGGTAGGGAGTGTGGGAGTGTGAAGGATGCTCGTACACCATTTTCCTCAGCCATCTTAGCAAGTTTGGCAAGCCTTTAGTTTGTCGGAATCACTTTGAGGCTGGCCTGTTCAATGCTTATCACGTTCTTTGGAGCCCTTAGAGTAAGTGAGTTGTTTGCTTCCGCAAAAACTGACAAATCTCTATCCTCTTTGCAGAGGAAGGGCATGGTGTTATTGGAAAGTCAGTTAGTGATTCATTTATGCAGATCAAAAACTGATCAACAGGGAAAGGGAAAATTTGTTGTGCTTGGGCAGTGTTGTATAACGGAAATCTGCCCCGTAAATGCTACATGAAATTATTTGCAGCTTACAGGGGTTGACGATGGTGGTTTTCTGCAGCATGAGGATAAATCGCTCCTCACAAAGTATCAATTTTGGAAAGTCACCTTTCAGGCCTAATGCAAGGCTGGGATAAAAGGGTGGGACTTTGGGATGCACTCCTTTCGTATAGGGGCAGCATCTACAGTGGCAGCTTTGGGCTACGGACAGGAGGATATTAAGAAGGTCGGAAGGTGAGCTTCATGCAGGTATCATGATTATGTGCACCCCTTGCTACAATTCTAGGTGCTGCTGTCTTTCATTTGGAATATTTTTCATTACAGGCCCTCAGAGAATTTTGGCCCGTGTTCGTGTTCTGTTATTTGGGCACAGTTACCTGTTTTGGGCTGCGAAGTACGCCAGTCAGACCAGTTGGAACCTGGGCCTTGATGCTGTAGCTGCATTGGATTGGAGAGGATGATGAGGCCTGCTATGGAACAGGTTCTTTGACATGGTGCCCATGGATACCCCACAGATGGTCCCAGACATTTTGGTGATCCACCTTGGTGTCAATGACTTGGCTCGGAAGCCGGCCGAGTCTTTGGTACTGCAAATTTTGGCAGACCTTAAGGTCTTTGCAGCCAGCTGTCTGGTGACCCATATCGATTGGTCAGCTATTATTCCTAGGCACATGTGGCGAGTTAGTTGTGACCCTAAGCATATAGATAAGGTAAGAAAAGGAGTGAACAGGGAAGTTGGTAGAGCCATTAAAAAGGGTTTAGTGTTGGTTATCACACACCAGTCTATTAGAGTCCCCAGGTCCAAGTTGTATCGGCCTGACGATGTTCATTTGTCCGACGTGGGGTTAGATATTTTCTTGAGGGACCTGCAAGGGGGCCTTCAGGCCTAAATTTTTGGCATGGTGGGGGGCATGGGGCATACGTTGTAGCCTTGTTGCCATGACAGGTAGTGCATAAGGAACAGGTTCAGGTGAATTCTAAAGTGGGCAAGCAGGGGGTGCCAAGCACTCCTCCTCTCGGGTTGGGATTAGCGGAAGTTAGCTGAGGGGAGGGGAAGCAGGTTATTCCGGTTACATTATCCCTGGGGGCATGCTGTAAGGTAGGACAGCACACTTTCAGAATAGGAATTCACACAAGCAAGGGTCTGGACCAGAACATCAAAAGTGACTCTGGTCACAGACCAGAACTCCACTGTGGTAGGCCCCCTTGTGAAGGGGGAACTTAATTAATATTAATGCAAATTAATAAAATTGTGGCCCAGTTACCCCATGTTACATGTCTCATCTCTTTATTCCGGGCTGGGCAGGCAACAGCCTCTCCGTGAGGTGCGCAACTCCCAATGCAGGGCTGTTTCACCTGCCCAGTCGAAAGAAAGGAGACATCGTGAGGCTGGCAAAGTAGGGTGAGGTCATGTGGTTCTGAAGACAGTGTGGCCTCTGTTGGCCATAATATGATCATCCCCGGGCCTTGAGCCCTCTATCCATTGGTGGCCGTTGGCTCATGAGTGGCCCCAGTGCATCCTCCCCCACCCCCACCTGCAGTCTCACAATCCACATTGCTGGGAGTTCGGATGCACTATAACCTCCTCTGAGCTCCAAGGGGAACTTGGAGATCCATCTACATTCCACACTACCTGCAATAGTAACTTATGACAAACACTGCCCATAATTAATGGCCCTAAGCCCTATGCTTGTGGGATAGGTGAAAAAAACATGCTCTCAAGAGCCAATCAAGGAGTAGGCAAAAAATGCCTAACTGGCTCCAAAGGTGACCAGTAAAACTCACACTAGAAACAAGAGTGGGCAGGTGGTTTGCAAGCCTTGAAGTGAGCTTGGGGGCAGAGCTCACTGTTAGTGTTTCAGACAGATTCTTCAGGCAGACCTTTGTGACTGAGCAATCATACTTGCAAATGAAGCCTGTGTTTGCCTATGAATGAACAATCACAAAACAAGGTAAGCAAGTTTGCAAGCTATGGGAGGTGTGATGAGCACTTAAAAATTGCTCCCTTTATGATAAAGACGATGGTTAATAAAATAGCTGATATGGTAACTAATGTTTGACATAGAAATGTCCAACCTATAGAACTGATTGATCATGCTGAAGGTTCTCAATAGCAAAGATCATAGCATCCTCTCTCTCCTCTTCACAGATTTCCCTTCTCTTTCTGAGCTTAGCTTTAATCCTCACAATATCTGGAAGATAAATGGATTTTTTTTTCTAGAAAGACCATATTGTTGCATGTTATCCCTCTTGAAACGGCAAGTATTTGAAGGTAGTTTGGTCTTCAGTGGGTAAATAAGAGCTATTCACTTTGCAAAAGACCTGCTGTTCGTTTTCTGATATGTACTAATCTAGCAGCTTGCATCTTTGGACTCTACTTATTTGAAGTAGCCATGGGGACTCTTCAAATAAACATACACTTCCATCACTACTGCTGATGACTGAAGCTGATATTTTATGTCAAAACATTGCACTCTAGATTTATTGGTCAGAATCCTGCTGTGCAGCTCTGCCTATGCAACAGGAATGATATCATCATCAGCAACAGATTACCACTGATTAAATACATCCTTTTTCAATTTCAGAGTGTGCTTGGCTCACATACAATGAGATAAATTCAAACTCTGAAACAAAAAAGGTGGTCTTCAACCAGTGACAATCTGCTGCTGACAATTGTTCCATTCCTGTTGCAAAGTCAAAGCCTGCCCAACAGAATTTTTTAAATTATTTTTTATTTGTGTGCATTTGCTAGTCAGGCTTTCTTGTTAAGGGTTATTATCCTGCCCTTTAGCAGTGAAATAAGATTCAACAGTTAGCCCAGTTGGCGTCTGAATGTACAGTAGAACTATCCTTTGCCCCAGGCAGCAAAATTCTTGGGCTAGCTCTGTTATTTGGCAGGAGCAAATGCATGGAATTGACTGCCATTTGTCTCCTTCGTAGGATTTTAAACAGATCTTACACAGAACACCATCACTTTCCAGTATCTTCTTCTTGCCTGCACAGGAACCCACACCAGCATGGTACTGTCTCTGGAACATCTACCAGTGTCTTTGGAACACTTGGAAAAGTCAGGAGCAGGTAACAGTATATTGTATCCTCACTATTCCCCTCATGCAACATCTGTTGGGGTTTTGATGTTTGCCTGTAAAAGAGAGTCCTTAGACTCTCTTTTACAGGTAGAGATAAGGGTGTGATCACACAGCACTATTAAATCATGCTGGAAAGGGGGCAGTCTTTAAAATCACTGTCGTGCACCCCCAGTGTCCCTAGTTTGTTTCCCTCAAACCCAGGTTCACCTTTGGACATGACTTGCTTATTTCTCCTTTCACCAACTGCCACCAGTGGATCTTTATCCACACTTTACCAATAATGTTACATAGACACGTGTTGTCAAATATAACTGATTATTTATTATTTGGTTGTTGAATCACACAAGTAGGTTCATAGATGTTTTATTAGGTTGCACTCATTAAACTTGGATATTAAACACATGTCTTTATTTGTATTACTTCACATCAAGCACTGGAGTAAGATCTTATGACTGTCTATCTATTTTATTATACTTCTGTCCTTTAACTATTCTTTAACACATCAACCAACTACACCAACTTTCCAATGTCTTTTATAAACCTTCAAAACCTCTTCTCTCCTTCACTCTCCAACTGCCTCTCTGACTCCGCCCTCCTGTCCTCTTATAGGCTCCAGCTCTAGAGCTCCACATGACGGACAGGTGGGACATGGGCATTCCACCACAATCACCCTTTAAAGTAACTCTTCTAAGTACATGTGATCCAGTCCTGATTGCTGTAGCACAGCTCCAAAAAAGGAATAGCCCTGCTGCTGGACAAAAAAACAAAAACAAACAAACAAAAAGTAGCCCTGCTGCTGGACACACACACACAAAAAAGTTCCAGACTGAGCATGCAGCAGGCTTGGGCTGGTTTGTGATCTTGCTCATGTCATCCGGTCACTGGAAAACAGAGCCAACCAGACCATGGTATACTGTGGTACTTCAAAGACAATCAAGTTTTACATGACATAAGCTTTCATAGATTGTTATCCTTTTCTTCAGATGCATGGCTACATCTCTGGGAAAAAAATTACTTTTAAGACATTACTTCCAAGCTCTGGTTAAAAGTACATTAGGATTTACACAGGAGGGAAAGGCTTGTCCTAACGCTACAAGCAGTATGCAGAACATTTCCTGTTGCTTCCATGTCTTGACTTTATACGATGTACAGCTTAAATTGATAGTTTGATCGTTTTTTTAATACTGGTCCTTTTTAATGAGATTCTTTGTAATAAGCTGTGGCAACTGATTAGTTGGGACTTTGTATCTTTAAGTAGATGTTTATACTGAATCATTTCCGCTTAAGATTAAGCATGACTAATTTCCTCTGCTGGCTTCGCTGGGAGTTACTCATCGCTAATTTTACCCGGGATAGTTCTTTTTGAGGTGGGTGGGGGTAAAGGATCCATGAATGTAGCGTTCTTTTCTTTTCTTTTTCGGAGGTTTGTGTTGGTTTGTGTCCAAGGCACCACAGATGCTACACGTTCTTTTTCCCCACCTCCCCAGCCAATGACCAACTGACCAGTCAGAACACACACTCCTCCTCCTCCTCATTGGCTGTTTGACTGGTCTCTGGCAAGAGCACAAGTTTGCCTATCCTGTCTCCTTGTCCGAGTAGGTGATCAGCCAAGGAGGTGGGGAAGGGAAACCTGTGCTCCTGCTGGAAATTGGTCGAACAATCAAAGAGGAGGAGGAAAATAGCACGTGCTGGCTGGTGAGGGGGGCGGGAATCCAGCCAGAGAGGTGGGGGAAGGGAAAACGCAAGATCCGTGGCACTGCACCTACGAACTGATTTGAACCTCTGAACAGAGGGGCATGCCCATCTCTATTTTTAACCCTTGGACAGTAAAAAAGTTGCTACTTATTCACCACCATCCAATTAATGGTTGAGATACATTTAGATAATTGTGTAAATATGGAAACATTCAGTCAAATGTGTACAAAAAGTGTGTGCCTTAGGAAAAGAAGGCACAAATTCCCATGTGGGTAGAAGAATAAGAAAAAGTTCTGGTGACCTGATATGAAAATGGATGTGATGAGAAACCTGTAGAATCAGAAGATGAAAAAGTGGAAGAGCTTTTCACATTTTCCTGTTTGCGGGCATCATATCACAGTGGTAGTGAGGCTGTCTCTGAGAAAACTGGAAACGTTTTGTAAATTATTTACTTACAGCATTATTACTCCTTTCCTTAGCCAAAAAAAGTTTCCAGAGTAGCTTTTACTCAATAAGTAGAAGAAATTCCCTTTTCACAGGCTGATAGTCTTGTTGCATTGATAATATCTATTTTATTTTGGCCTGTACTTACTTAGAAGCAGTTCCATTTGCACCATCTCTGGACGTCTTGCAAAACCAACAGATGCCAGGACTCATAACCTTGGATGAAGAACAGAAACAATTTTGACATTTTTGGAGGTGGGGAGCGTTATTAGGTTAAAGACTCAAGGTGCTTCCAGATGGTTGACATGAGGTCGTTACTCCTTTTCCCTCCTCTTTAATGGACTTATTTTGTCATAAGACAGAAGAAAGAAAGAAAGAAAGAAAGAAAGAAAGAAAGAAAGAAAGAAAGAAAGAAAGAAAGAAAGAAAGAAAGAAAGAAAGAAAGAAAGAATGCAAGGGGAAGAGTCACCACCAGGAAGTCCCCACCTCAAGAGACCATGAAGAAGTCCGAAAGAATACACAGTAAAGACCTCACTTGGAAGTACCCCAAACAGAACAAAATGACACAAATGAGCTAAATTTTGGATATGCTTATTTTTATGAACAGATAAAAATAAAGGTTACCTTTCAGTGGGGGAAAAACCTATCTAGCTCTCATTGTCAGGAGGAAGTATTCTGAATTATTGTCTTTGGTATTATCCCAAATATGGACTTAATATATACCTTCTATTGTTCTTACTGGGGTTTTTTTGTGTTCTTGTTTAGCCTTTCATGTTATGAAATACTGTACATTGTTGAACTTAATGTTCTTATACTAGTAAAATCTGCTGCCTAATCAACATAAATTATTATTATTGTTCCTTATATATTATACGTCTGGAAATGTGAGCGGAATTCACATTCACTTTGATTCAAGTCAATATATTCACAATGGTTGGTTGGGATCCCATAGCTCAGTGGTTTAGGCATTTGGCTGCAAAGATCGGGGCTTCGATTCCCTGCTATGCCTCCATGACAGGAGCTGAACTTGATGATCCAGAGGATCCACTCCCGCTCTGCAATTGTAAGATTATTCACAGAATGTGTTGGCTCTAATTTTTTTTTTACCATCCTTGTTAACCTAAGTCACAAGGAGATAAAACCTTTTTCCCTACAGACTGAGTTAAAAAGTAACTTAAGCTTCAGATAAGAAGTCTAACTGGTTATGTAATAAAAAAGTAGTATTCTTAGTATCATCTGCTTACTACATCACCATCACTGTCACCGTCACTATCACCAACACCATCACCATCACCATCACCATCACCATCACCATCACCATCACCATCACCATCACCATCACCATCATCATCTTAGAACTGCAGAGCTGTAAGAGGCCCTATGAGCATTAAGTCCAGCCCCTGTCAAAAAGTCACATTGGGGAAACAAGCACCTAACTCTGGCTCCACAGCCAGATACTAGATAAGCCACTGAATTACCCAGCAGTAATTGAGTATTAACATAAATTAATAGCGCAATAATATTTTAGGATCCAACAGAAAATTAATAGCATAATAATATTTCAGCAAAGTTTAGTAAACAAAGGAAATGAAGAAATAATAATGTAGTTCTAGAATGAAAAAAAAATATATCATCTAGACAGTGACACAAGTCTTTCATTTCTGCCTATTGCTTGTGAAATGGTTGGCAGAGGGTTGCAAGAGCATATATAGTACATGTGGTCACCTTAGTCTGAACCCTCCTTACGGCTCCAGTGACTGGAGGACTGAGAATCAATCTTGGGCTGTATTGGAGGGTTCAGCTGTCATCCTTCTTCCCCTCTGGTGCCAGAAGCTCAGCATACTGTGTTACTTTGGATTTTCCTCTTCCTAATTCAAATCACTTGTTTAACCCTAAAGTGCCAAATGGGATATCAAGGATCCATTCTGGTGCTATGTCCATCCTGCGTGTGAACAACAGCTTTCCCCTCTGTCATGTAACCACTTCAAAATCATACAAATACTCTTGTGTGGCATGTTTCATAGATATGTGTGAGACAGTGCACATACCTAATTGATATCATCCAACAAGTCAACAAGCCATGCCCTTTCCCAGGACATTCCATTCTATTTTGTTCCTCTAGTTGTCTGTTTCTTTCTCTGAAGATGCTGAGATTTCTGGGGCCATTGAATGCATTCAGTTCTCACTGGGATGCTTAGACCTCTTCCTTTCATCTCAACTTTTTTTGCACCTCTGCAAACCTTAGGGTTCCTTTAACAGGAAGCTGTGACTATCTTTAGATGAATCAGTATCAACGTCCTATGGCATACAGCAAGCTCATTCTCTATCTGCTAAGGAGCATATGTTGTTCCCTCTGTCCCTCAGTAGCTAATGAAGTCAGGGGAAGAGTATCTGTTTATATTGCTGCCGAATGTTTACATGAAGTTAGGAATGCATTTCTTAAAGTTAAAATAACAGAATAGTCTCAGAGCTGCCCCATATGTGGCATTCATTCTCCAAAATATATGTGAATGTTTCCTGTCCTTCATAGTATACAGTGGGGTCTTGACTTAAAAACGGCTCGAGTTAAGAACATTTTGACTTAAGAACTGCTCTCATAGGAAAATATTGACTTGACTTAAGTACTTAGATTTGAGTTATAAACTAAAAAAAAACCCACGTGGGAGGCAGGGAAAGTGCAATCTGTCCTTCATAGTATATGAGGCTTGTCTCAGTAAGTCCAGCTACAAATCTGTGCCTTTCTGTACTTTTCTGTACTGCCTGGACTGTATTTTCCCTGCCTTCCCTGAACCTTTCTTGACCTAAGAAAAAAAGAAACAAAATATCCCCCTCTAGTGGTTGAAGGCGGAATAGCAGCTTCCCATTAGTTTCTATGGACGGAAAAGAGCAGATACGGATCAAATGGTTTTCAATGCATTCCTATGGGAAATGCAGATTTGACCTGAGAACTTTTTGACTTGAGAACCGCCTTCCAATACGGATTAAGTTCTCAAGTCAAGACCCCACTGTATGAGGCTTGTCTCAGTAAGTCCAGGTACAAATCTGTGCCTTTCTGTACTTTTCTGTTGCCTCCTGGAGGCTGGCTTATTTTTTATTGTGATTTGTCTCTGGGCACGGGGCAGAGTTTAGCATGCTGGTGCTCTCTGATTGGAAGCAGCTTCCAGGGAAACTGTTTTTGTCAAATGAGGTGTGGCTGCACATCCCAGTAAGTTCCATGCTCCTCTGTGATAAACAGGAGGGGAAAAACAGGAGATTGAACCCATCTGAAACAGCTTTCTGTGGGCCTTTTGGGTTTTGGAAAAGTTGCTGATCATAGTGAAAAGAAAAATCGAAATCAATAATGAGGAAAATGCATTTTTTTACATTTTTCCTGTTTTGTTATATTTATTTAAATTTCTTCACTATGATAAATTCTGTCAGTGTAAATTCTTCCCCCAGGCCTGAGGCACTTACATGTACAACTCTGCCCTGTTTTCATTTTCTTCAGTCTTGGATTATGGGCTTTATGCTGAAATGAATGGAAAATCCACTTCTTTCTCACAGTGGTACCTGTACGAGAACCTCTGCTTTCAAGGAGACGACTTGGTTCTCGGAAAATAAATTGTGAACTACTGTAAAGGTATCAGAGCAAATACCTAGGGCTTTAGAGCTTGTTGAACAAAGGATTTGTTTTGTGTTTCCTGAGAGGCATGTCTTGAAACCTTCTGTTCTCTTCCTGCAAACTACTTGCTAACACACTAAGACTGTTTGCTTTTGCATCACCGTTTAGAACTATATCTAAAAGTGCCACAACGTTTTCCTTTTTGTATTTATTTATTTATTTATTTATTTATTTATTGGATTTTTACCTCGCCCCTCTAGACCATGTCCACTCCATGACAACTACGTGCTACGCCACAATGTTTTCCTTTTTGTATTTATTATACTATATTGAGGTGTCCCTCTTGACTAGAAGGCAATCTCACCCCCACCTCACACTCTGATTCATGCAGAGACACAACAAAAAACCTCCTCTGAGCGTCAATAGTCCTGCTGCACCTTTGCTTCGAAGTCCAGTCACAGCCCTTGCAAAGATATAGTATAGTTCCCCATTTTCTGTGGAATCTGCCTGAAAAGAGGCAGGAGCAGAACAATGCAACATGCAGGGATGCATCAGGTGCCCTTCTGTTTGAGCCTGTAGATTATTGTACTCCTCCTAAGAGTTGCTGGGGAACAACAGCATGTGAAAGACCTTGCCTTGACATGCTGCTTGTTTGTGAACTTCTCAAAGGCACTTGGTTGGAAATAGAATGTGGTGTTAGATAAACCTTAATGCCTGATCCAGGAAAGTGCTTATGTCCTATAATAACTAAATCAATTTTCTGTATCATGAGGGAAGTTATTTAAAAACCCACAGACCTGTCTGTTTTAGTGCCTACCTTGGCTGCAGACCTAGAAACCTGCCATATGATTGACTCCAAATTAAAGTGGAATGTAGTTGCAACTTTAGATTGGCCAAGGCTATCATCTGATCTTTGCTTTGAGGCATGCAGCAGCATATTTTGGTTGCTGGAGACATTTGGAAGGTTCTTTGGGCAAACAAGCCTTCATATATCTAGCCCAATGTCCAGTGGTAGTCATACCAACAGTTCTATGCACAGGTACCTGTGAGGAAATGCCCTTAAATATAATGGGACTGATGTCTGACTGAATAGACTTGCTGAGGATTGTGCTATTAATAGTATTCTATGGGAACCATGTGCCATCAAATCAATTCTGTCTCACAGTTATTCTTTTCAGGCTTCTGTAGGTAGGGACTACTCAGAAGTGGTACTGGGGGCATCTTGAGGTGCAGATTGTACAGGGCCACAAATGCACATTGTTCTCCAGGGAGGCACAGTGGAGAATTGAACTGCCAACCTGTGGTTTTACAGCCAGATATCTAACCCACTGAACTATCCAGCCAGATCCTGAATATACATGCCTATAAATAAACAAATAAATAAAACCAAACACATTTGCTCTACATTCTCCCTCCTCAAATAAGGACTATGAAAGTACATTCTTCGAAACCAAGATGTCTTGAACACTTCCTCTTATCATTTCTAGAAGTGTGTGCACACTAAGGGCAAGTTCATGTGTACATGTATATCACGATTTGATCGAGTTGTCCATACATGCACAGTTAGCAGGCCATCCCAAGTCAAACATCTCACATGGGACTTTCATATCACGGCACATCACCAGAGCCATAATATTTGCTAATTTTATTAAATCACCCGTACAGCTAGATAATGCAGTTCCTGAGAGATTAAATGATGGCCATCCATTTGCCAACCACAACTAAATATGCAGCCAGAAGGGGAAAAACAAACAAATACAATCCACTACCAAAAGGGTAGAACCAGCTGTACACAAGTGATCAGTCATATCCACCCACAGAATATTTTTTTCAAAGTTTATTTTCAAGCTCACATGCTTTCCTTCCCCAAAGCAGTGTAGCATGTTACAGAAAAACAATTCACCATTTTCACAGAACTACTATCAACAGGAATCAGAGTGTCTTTAGCAGAAGCAGGTAAATCTTGGATCAGAAAGCCCTGTAAAATGAGAGACACACTTTTAGACTGACCTCTGTTTAGTCAATTCATTGACTAGATAGATTTTGTTTATGGTGAATTCTGAAGGAAGGATGATCACGTACATAGATGAGTCTGGCTGGAAACGGTAAAAAAGCACATTTTTTAAAAAAGTAATTAAAACTCCCAGTGACAAGTTTAAGCAGCATGCATACTCACCACAATATCCTCCAGGGTTTCAGTATTTTTGGTGGCTGCAAAAGAAATGTCTTGCTTCTGTTTAAAATCAAATGCATATAATTTTGGGGGGTTCCTGTTAATAGAGTTTGTTGTTGTTGCAGCAATGGCACTTGTTTGGCATACTTCCAAAGATCTTCATGGTTTTTCTGAAATAATCAAGTCCTTCCCTGACTGCAGCTGGAAATGTCACTTCCTGTAATGCTGTATGACACAGTCTTGGTATATTTACATTCAAACATTGATTGTAGTTAGTGTGAATTGTTTTTTTTTACATAGATGTAAAATGGTTTGATCTCAAACCATTGAGACAGGATGCTTCTTCTCTCAAGCTATCTTTGCTGATCAAATGAAGTGACTGAAGAGTTATTAATGAACATTTGTCTCTACTGTTAGACAAGGCTATCGTTTTGTGACAACATTTTTCCACTGCTTTATCAACGACACTTCCTCTTGTTAACTGTGAAACCTCTTCTGACAAAGGACAAGGTCCAGAGATATACATAAACTACATTCTGTCCCACAATGAAACATCCACAGCTACTGATCAAATCACAAATCGTTCATTTTTTTGTGAGATTCTTGAGTTTTGACTGACAAGCTATTTTCATTTGTGCGCAAAACAGATCAGAAACAGATTATAGGCAGTTCCTAAGTAGAGCTCAGATATGATGGAGAGGGGTGACTGAGGCAGTTTTTCAGGTTTGAGAAGTCAAAGAAAACCTGTGTCGAAGTCCTGGAGGTCAGACCTCTAACACAGCAACCTAAGTTGTATATATCAAAGAACAGAGAAGCTCCTGTTGTGGTACTCAGATTCTTTCACTGGTCAAGAATTTTCCTCTTCTCACCATGGGACCATAGGACCCATCTAATATCCATTTTTTTGCCCTCAGTTGTGTGGACTAGGTATATTTAAGATCACTTACTGTAAGTGAACTGCTTATGCATATGATCTATTTTATTTTATTTATTTATTTAAAATATTTCTATGCCACCTCTCTCCCCAAAATGACCCAAGGCAGCTTACATTGCTAAAAATAGTTGTAAACACTGGATGCTCTCTGATAAAGTACTAGGATGTCTGAACTGAAGTGGACATGGGAGAGGCGTGCTTATGTGTGCATCAACAAAATAAAAAAATTAAACAGGACACAGATTTCCATAATATTTCCATGTGCTAATATATATATATATATGACATGTTATTGATGACGTGTACAACTGCTAAGTTGTCATACCAGAACCTTACTACTGAGTTGGCCCAGTCTTCAGCACATAGCTATAGGGATCCCAAAATAGGAAAAAAGTCTAGAAATGTCATGTCCCTAGTCAAGCATAGAGTGTGCCAATCGTCTGGCCAGGTGCTGATACACCAATGACCTTGGAAATATATACCAAGTCCCAATGACCATGCTTGTATCGGTTATATGACCATCTACCAACCTCACTCTGGACCTGGAAATCACTCCTCAAAATTAATTCCGTTCTTCAAAATGACACACCACTGAAATTATCTAAAAAACATTGTCATACCCTCAAATCATGCTTCATGTTTACCATAACCATGGTGGAACAGAGCCTGCGTAAAAACGCCCTATCTGGGGCGGGTGGTGACCCTGCAAGCAAAATTCAGATTCCCTACTATTTCTTGCAGCTCTTTCAAAGTAACTTAAAAGACTCACTGAACGGGCCAAACACGAATGAAAAAACCTAACTGCTCAAAATCCTCCGGGTGCACTAGCAAAATACGAAATGCCAATTTCACATCACACTTGGCCAGCTCTGCACCTACACCGTAGGCACGTATGATATGTACTGCCTCATCAAAGGATGTATAGCGTACCGTGCAGAGCTCTTGTGGGATACTATTCTTCACAGAATCACCTTCAGGGTAGGATAGGTGATGTATCAGTCTAAATTCCCCAGGTGCCTTCTTAGGGACTATTCCTAAAGGGGACACCTGGAGATTCAGCACAGGCAGATTGAGGAAGGGGCCTAAAACTCTACCCTCTCTAACCCCCTTATCTATTTTTTTCCCTAACAATAACCTCAATTCCTATTACCAACTTCAAGTTCTTGGCGAACATTGCCTTACATTCGCCTATAACTGGTAAACGAAAATGCAACTCCCAGCAGAGTAGGCAGGGTTGAACCACCTGCTCCTCTACAGCATGGAGAACGTTTGCTTGGCCTTCCTTCCTAATAAGATGACCGCTATCAAACCATCACCCTGCGCCAGGTGGGCTGTCATCATGTTTTGCAGCCAAAGCCCCAGGTGTGGTTCATCCCGTCACATGTTGGCATGAATAGCAGCTTTCATATGGAAATTTTTATCATAGGCCAACCAAGAGTGACCCAGAAAATCCATATATGTCCTATAAATCAGGTCTAAATACTGTACGAATGACAAAGCCCACCACGGTTGTGCCTTAACTATGACTCCAAAATAGATAAAAATCATGGCAGCCAATTGGCCCAAGAATGTTTGGGCTTCTTGCATCTAGGCCTTTCCTTCTCTACTTCATCCTCCTTCTTGATTTCTTTAGCATCCACAATTCTTTTTAATAATTCAAAGATATCTACATAATTATCCCTTCAGATTTTTTCCCTCATAGCTGGTGCCAAGTGAGGGAGTAATTCCTAAAAGGCAAAGCCTTAAGGGGAACGGAATTATAACCTGTGTCCAAGACTGAGGGGTAAGGCCAAACTCCAACTCGGGCGGCATGCCCTGGTTGGTTGGCAAAAGATGGTACCTGGTAAGGAGGCCACCAAGTACTAGGAATTGGTCCTTGGTAAGTGCCCAGCCTCATTGGCCCATCTTGAGTGTCTGTGACTAATTGTATCCCAGCCTGACTTGTCCAGTGTGGTCCAACCCCCCAAGGCCTAACTGTTAGTGCCCCACTAGTGTCCAGTGCAATGGCAAACTCACCCAGTACAGAACTCCCTGCAGCATCTGAACTTGTGGAAGGCAACTCCCTATCAGATCTGGTTTTGGTCACTGCAGTGTGTCTCGGGGCTTCTTTCTTCCCAATAGATTTATGTGATTGAGCTGCACGTCCTTCTTCTGTTGTACCTTCAAATTCTCCAGAATGTCACTCTTCTGTCTCCACAGCCAGTCCAGATGCACTTTGCCTATCATTTTCTAAAGATGCAAGATGGGACAAGACGTCATTAGCTCAGCTCTTAAGTTTTGCCCTTTTATGCGCTTTAGACTCCTTTGCCGATTGCCTCAGCTGGTCCTCCTTGATTCTTGTTTATTTTATTTATTTATTCAATTTTTACCCTGTCCCTCTAGACAACATCTACTTGTTTCCTCATGCTATGTCTGAAGATGATGTCAATGATGGAGCAGAAGCCCTGCATACCCTGCATTTGGCGGGCTGTTTTCCTTTACTCGCACCCTGTCCTTTCTTGGCGGCATGGTCTTGCTGACTACACACAATGCCCAATTCACAGCAACTGATTCCATAAGCCGAGGCATATGCCCCCTATTCACTAGGCTCTGTACCTCACGCACAGCAGCCCAGCAAGACAATAACATAGTAAAATGTAAAACAATTAATGACATTAGATTATAATTAAATCAAATAACATGTACATTAATTAATTAATTAATTAATTAATTAA